ACATGGGTAAATTAAACTTCAAGCACAATAAAATCTTATTGTAGAAAATCTGTACTCCAGTGTAAAAAAAAAGACCACTTCCAAAAATAACCCAACAGAAACAAATCAGCTTTTTCTACCACACAGAATAGATTATTTGCATATTTCATTTATAATAGTTTAACTGGACTTTATGAGCTCATAGTTCAAATGTCTTTTTGGTACACATAACTGAATGCTTACCTTTCAAAATACTAAAATTCCATTCCTCTGATTTAGCCAAAATCATTAGTTCCTCCATTAAATAGCTGTAGTAAATATTTAAGGTTTTTTTTAAAATATTGGCAAAGACAGAGATGGTGTGCTAAAAGTTCATAGTCAGTCAATAAAGTAAATAAAAACTTTATGATTTTTAAACAGTAATGGATTTCCACACATACTTTTCCCCTCAAAAAAATCTATTTGCTATATACTGGAACATGTTTTTTCTTCCAGAGAAGATGACATCATCACTTAGAAATTTCTCAAAATATGGATATTTGAAATTCCCTTCTGACCCTTTCAAAATACATCATGTTCCCACTACAAGGGAGATTAATTAACATTAATACACATAAATTCTTTTACTCTGCATTTAGATGCCTTTTTCTGAGGTTTGATTTATGAAGGAAACATAAAACACTCACTATTCCGCTTGTAGGAATCTTCAAAATTCTGACTTACAGTGATGGCTAGAAAAAATCTTGACGTAGCTATTAAATCCCCAAAATAGTAAAATCTCTTTCTTTGTTAAAGTCTGAATTGTATTGAACATTTTATGGAGTAAAATCCTAATAGGTAAGACCCTCTCTTTCAACATATATTTTATTTTATTTTTTAAATGTTTTTATTTACTTCAGAGAGAAGGTGGTGAAGAGAGGGATAGAAACATCAATGAGGAGAGAGAATCATTGATTGGCAGCCTCCCGTATACCCACTATAGGGAATCGAACCTGCAAGCTGGGCATGTGCCCTGACTCGAAATTGAACCATGACTTCCTGGTTCATGGGCCAATACTCAACCACTGAGCAACATTGGATGGGCATATATTTTATTTTTAAAAGTATTTTCCCAAGAGTAAAGATAAAATCACTGTGCTATGGAATTCCTTTTAACTAGGATGTTTTAAACAGGAACACACACATATTTTGTATACTATGCCATGATTGGGTGAATTTATTCTGGTGTTACTCAGACTTCTAATGCTACTCACTAAATATTTTCTGCTATTATATGCCTAAATGACTGTCCAACCGGTAGCTATGATTTGCAATGACCACCAGGGGGCAGACGCTCAACACAGGAGCTGCCAAGCTGCAGTGACTTGGCAGCTGTGGTTCTTGGGTGATGCACCCAGCACCAGAGAGGAGGGAGCCTGATTCTGGAGTACGTCACCCGAGAACTACCCTCTCGCAATACCGGACCCCTTGGGGGATGTTGGAGAGGCGGTTTTAGCCTGATCCCTGAGGGCCAGGCCGAGGGACTCCACCAGTGCATGAATCCATGCACCAGGCCTCTAGTATATAATATAAAGTATGGTTGTGTCTTTCTCAAAAACTTAATAAAATTGCTTCTCAGAACTATAAAATTAGAATATTTAAAAAATAAGTTCAAAATGTTTAGAAATATTTAGTTCTCAATGAAAAAAATGTTTGTTAATCACCTTTCCAAGAATAATTTATACTGACTTGTTGGTAAGAGTCCAATGACTCTGGATTGGATATTTCTTCAAAAAGTGTACTGTATAAGTGAAAAATGACTTCCAAAACACTAAGTTCATTAAATTTTGTTTCATATGCTTCCTAAAAGCATCCAAGTCTGGAGAATTTAAATATTTATAAGCTTTATGACAGTAAAAATGCCTAAAAACCATGCAATAATCTCTGATAAAATATGTAATGACTTAAGTTACTATTTTTGAAAATAAATGAGATTAATATTTTTAGACATGACACATAATACAAATTAGTTTCTGCAAATCCTATCATCTATTAGTGCTCCTGAGTCAAAATAATATTATAGAAAATTTAATCATGTCTTCTAATTGGGGCAAGGGGGAAGGCAATAGTATAGGTAGACGGTCAAGAAACCAGGATATGTTTTTTAGGAAGATGAAAGTTAAAATATGAAGAACATAAAGCTCTGCCCCAAAAGAATAAGAAAACAACACAATCCCTTCAGCCTTCCTAGTGCTTTTGCTATGACTTAACAGCAGTAATATTCAAGTCTTTCTCATTTGAGTACCTCCTAAAATAGTTTTAAAAATCTATGTACTCTTTTGTACAATTTTCTAGTTGACAACTAATATTTTTTAACACATTAGTTTCAAAGGATGAAAATAGTGGTAATTTCTGAAAAATGATGACTTTTTAATAAATCCAATGGACTCTACCATAATGACTTGATGCCCTCCGTCATCCACTTTAAAAAACCACATAAATAGCTTTAGCCAGTTTGGCTCAGTGGATAAATCATTAGTCTGCAGACTGAAGGGTCCCGGGTTCAATTCTGATCAAGGACATGTGCCCATGTTACAGGCTCAATCCCCAGAAACGGGCACACAGGAGGCAGCCAATCAACGATTCTCTCTCATCATTGATGTTTCTTCCACCCCGCCTCCCTTCCTCTCTCAAATCAATAAAAAATATATACATATTAAAAAAGATATATGAATAAAGTGATTTTTAATACTTAACAATTTTACATCATTTTCCCCCCCCTGGACTTTCATTTTAATTCCATTCTTATCCTAGAACTGTGGTTCTCAACAGGGAGGAGAAGTGGAGTCCGGGGACTGGTGGTGGTGATTTGCCTACCAGGGGACATTTGGCAATGTCTGGAGACACCGCTGACTGTCACAACTGGGGTGAAGGGAGTTACTGGCATCGAGTGGGTAGAAGCCAAAGATGCTGTTCAACATCTTACAAAGCTCAAGACAGCTCCCAATGACAAAGAATTATCTGATCCAAAATACCCAGAGTACTGAGGTTGAGGAGCCCTGTCCTAGAGCCATATATTCCTATGCCTAAAAGTTGTTTTTTGTCATATTACTAGAGGCCCAGTGCACAAAAATTCATGCACTTGGGGGGAGGGAGGGGTCCCTCAGCCCAGCCTGTGCCCTCTCACAATCCAGGAGTCCTCAGGGGATGTCCGACTAACACCTTAAGCCTGCTCCTGGAGAGAGCTTAAGCTGTAGTCTGGCCTCCCTCTGTGGGAGGCGACCAGATGGGCCGATCAGGGGACAGCACCAGCCAGTGAGCAGCTGGCCCCACCTCTCCATCGCCCCTCCACAGGAGTTGGCTGCCATACCCTCCCCCTATCACTATCCCCCACCTCTGGCCACTAGCACGTGCCTTGACTGGCCTGGCACCACCTGCTTGCCAGCCCCACCTCCCACCGACCAGTCTATCTGCCATTTGGTAGATTTGCATACTACACTTTTATTGCATAAAATACTTCTCTACAAAAATATCTATGCAAATTGATAAAGTATAAATCTCCTATAACAAAGGTCTAAGTGTTAAAAATGTCTTCTGGAATGATTTAAAATTATTAGTAATACAGTTAATCTAAATAACATAATTAAACAATCATTATCAAATAAAAGAAGTAAAAATATACTTAAAATGTTCCTATTGAGATGGATTGGGCTTATTTTGTTACTGTCAATTAGGTATTGTACCTGTGGATAAATTCTTGTTGCTAGAATGAGACTGAATTCAGCTCAATTATATTTCTACTAGTAGCCCTGCGCACGAATCCATGTGCCAGCAGCTCTCTGCTGCCTGCTTGTAGCCATAGCTTGCTGCCGTCCTCCTGTAGCTCACTGTCCCACCCTCCTGCTAATCCGTGACCCAGTCATCATGTGGCCGGTCGTTAAGCTTCACCACATAATAACTATTTGCATATTACATTTTTATTATATAAGATTTTCATTTTTATGATATCTCAGAAACCTTAACATAATTAAGTAGATGGAAAAGGAGTTCTGTTGGAATAATATAACTTATTCTGTGAGCTTTTACCTTAAATACATAAATCACAATTATCTATTATTAAAAATTATTTCAGTGATCTAGATTTTGGAAGATTCTCTTTAAATATTATTAAAGTGAAAGAATTTGCCGAAACCGGTTTGGCTCAGCGGTAGAGCGTCGGTTTGCAAACTGAAAGGTCCCAGGTTCGATTCCGGTCAAGGGCATGTATGTTGGTTGTGGGCACATCCCCAGTAGGGGGTGTGCAGGAGGCAGCTGGTCGATGTTTCTCTTTCATCGATGTTTCTAGCTCTCTCTCTCCCTTCCTCTCTGTAAAGAATCAATAAAATATATTTTTTTAAAAAGTGAAAGAATTTAAAACCAATGGATTTGCAAAGGATCTGTTTATGATCTTTAAAGACACTCACTTTCTTAAACCAACAGCAGGTTGCCCAGAGGTTTTAAGCCCGCTTTAATGTACAGACCAAGTTAGGCCTGATCTATGGAGTCTTTAAACCCCCTGCAATGAGAACAACTTCCCTTCGCTGGCAGGGTTTGGGGAGTCCCAGCAGGGTGTTTGTTATTATTATTTACTTTAGAGGGGGAAGGGAGGAAGGGGGAAAGAAAGAAAGGGAGGGGCAGAGGGAGGAAAGGAGGAAGAGAGGGGAATAGAGGAACATCAATCGGTTGGGTCCCTTACACATCAGGACTGGAACTGAACTGCAACCTGGGTATGTGCCCTGATGGGGAATTGAACCCAGAACCTATTAATGCTTCAACCAACTGAGCCACACTGGCCAGAGAAAGATTTTGAAATTTAATAAATCTCTATCAATTGCCCCATAACTGTTTATTAGTTCACCATAAACAGTCAGGTATGGTTGTCATCCAACACCTATGCCTAACAGCCTAGGTCTCTGAAACCATATCATGAGTTTTATGAAAATTAGATTTTCAATAAAGAAATGGTCCAAATATGACTCCAGTTCTCTCCATTACTCCCTTACCTCTTAGACACTCTGTACTGTGCTGTGGTCAATTTTCCAGTCTCAGGGTCATGTACTGTAGCTCGGCTCAGCTACAAAAAAAAAAAAGAGAAAGGACAGCACTTACTCACGTAGCAGGCAATTTTGGACTTTTGTTTGATTTTGTTTTGCCCAGCCACAGGTGATTGGAAGGTTCAGATTGGTCTGGATGATAGGTAATGGTTTCAAATCAGCAAAAACATTTAGAAAGGTGGCAAATAGAAAAGCCACTTCCGAATCAAGAGAGAATGAGTTGACAAATTTTTGTTGTATATTTATTGTCCTTTCACTTTTTTTAAAAGAAATCATTTGAAGCTGTATGTAAATGACTTATATAGCACTGGGTTTCACAGGAACTTTCTCAAATTTAGAAGTTGAACGTTCTTTAAATATGTGACAAAAGAATAATTAGTAGTCTCGTTAAATTCATTTTTTTAAACTCTCACCAAGACAAAACTGTTGTTAAGTCTCTGGCAAAATAAAAGGCAAATAATTCACAAGTAATAGCAGCTGGAAGAGAGAGCAGAAAAATAACTCTGTTCTTTCCATTGCCAACTTTTAAGTCAGCAAGTTTTTTAAAATAAAAACTCCAACAGGAGAAATACAGTTTACTCCAAATTGACAATGGCATTTTACAAGACATATGAACAAATGCCAAAACAATCACCATGAAGGCTGATGTGAGTTCACAGCAGCATTTATGAATGTTAAGAGAGCTGCATAAACAAAGACCGCTGCTTTTGCTTTTTCTCCCCCTTGGCAAGAGGAGGGAAAAAGAAAACAAGTATCAAGCCAAATCTTGGACATTTAATTCCTGACCAGAATAGAGATGCAAAGCCTATTAATTCCCTAAAAATAACAGACCAATTAAAAATTAAAAACAGAACTTCTAGTTGATGGGAAAGACCTGTGAAACGCGAAGCAGTTTATCCATGTGTGTATGGACAGGCGGTGACTGGAGCTGGAGACTGAAAATGACCTACTTCCTTGAAATGAGTAATTCCTGTAGGATGTACGAAAACACTCATTAGAGATCAAAATATGCAGCATACACATCTCTTACCTTTTGCTAATTCTGTAATGTACCGTCTCCAAGACTCCTGTTATTGGATTTGAAATGGTGGCTCGCCTCAGCTGTGAAGCCAACCATCAAAATACTTGCATTACAAAACAAAACTGAATCACATTTACCCAACCAGTCAGAATTCTCGGATTTTTATAATGGAAGCTGAAAATAGAAAATAGCTCCATAGACTTCCAATCACCTTGTGTTGAGCTTTGAAAGCCCATGTGGTTTTTTTAGGTTTTCTATATATATATTTTTTAAATTTAAATGTTTTATTTTGCATAAATAGAGGGTACTTGAAGAGATTAAAAATTAAATTTCTTTCAAATGGTTAGAGGATGTGATAGTGAGAAAAAGAAATTTCTAAAATTTGAAGTCTAATTTATAGTTATAAGAATGGTTATTTGTAATTAATGATCCATTCCAAACTTCTGATTTTAATTTTTTTTTTTTTTTTTAGTGATACTATCTCAGAAAGGCTAATATAAATTAAGAGGGGGGAAAGTTATTTACCCTTGGTTTTGCTAGATCTTTGACAATTTCAATTTCTGCATCAGAAATAATGTCATGGAAACGAACAATACGAGGCTTGTCCCACTCATCCTCCTGTTTGGCGGGAGCCAGAATAAACTTGGGATTCCGGTTTCCATCATGGTAGCGGCAAAAGAGTTTTTTCTGTCTCCGAGGAGTCTAAACATAAAGTTAAAAAGATGACAAATATATCAGAGTAATAATTTTTTAATGCTTGTTCCTATGCAGATAAGAAACAGTAATCATGCTCACGTACACACAAAGTTGCCTGTAGAAGACCAAAACAAAACCAGTTCTCTACAAATACTTTGCATCAAACAGGAGTTCAGGATTTTTTTAATATACATTTTTATTGATTTGAGAGAGGAAGAGAGAGGGAGAGAGAGCCAGAAACATCGATGATGAGAGAGAATCACTGGCCGGCTGCCTCCTGCACACTTGCTATGGGGGACTGAGCCTGCAGCCTGGGCATGTGCCTTGGCTGGAATCAAACCCAGACCCGCAGGCTGCGGCCAGCACTCTATCCACTGAGTCAAACCAGCTAGGACAGGACCTTCAGGACTTAAAAATTTATTATTTTCTGGGAGAGAGATGGTAGACCCTAAATAAGAAAAAAGGTAGGGTTTTGCTTTTTACCCTCCTGTCATCAAAATAAAATTCAGGTGTTATAAATATGAAATAATTGTTTATGTAAACATGAAATAAATTATCAGCATTGCTCTAAACTTCACAAAGTAACTGGGCAACACTCTGAAATAAAAAGTTTCTAAAAGGAAAACAAAACAAGAATAAAAAACTTAATCAGCTTTTGCTAAATAAAAAAAATAAAAAATAAAAACAACAAACAACCACCTCTCAGTTAAATGCTTATGGCCAAAAATAATTTTTTTAAAAGGTTTGTTTGTTTGTTTTTAAGCCAAGATAAAAATGGGTAGCTCTAAACAAGAGAAAATAAGTTATTAAACTAAGAAATCAGGTGCTTTTATTAGTGAGTATTTAAAATAAAGTGGTCAACAAAGCAAATAAAAGTTTCTTTTCAATCACAATGTAGAATAAATAATTAAGTTAATGCATTACTGACTGTTCTCTTGATTAAACAAGTATGTCATATATGAAGTAGGAATAGTAGTTTTTATTTTAATTATTAGTTAACATACTAAAACAAAGATTCATGTTTATTCTCCATGTACTTTATTCACCTAGAATAAAATCCAAAGTTTCATATCAAATAAATGTTTTACCTAATAATGATATGAACTTATTCTGAGAAAAAGAATGCTCCTTTGATCTTGAGCAGGTTTGGCATGTGTGTGTCACAACAACAAACTGACAAATTAGCAGACTAGTGTTTCATACTTAGAGATCTATTTTGCTCTCTTCTTCAAGAGTTAAGAGCAATAAAAACATGTGCTGTCTAGCCTTTTCGGCTCGGTGGATAGGGAGTCGGCCTACATACAGACTGAAGGGTCCCAGGTTCAATCCTGGTCAAGGGCACACACCTCAGTTCCAAGCTCCTCCCTGGCCCAGGCTCGTGCAAGAGGCAACCAATCAAGTGCCTCTTTCATATCAATGTTTCTCTCTGTCTTTCCCTCTCTCTTCTATTCTCTGAAAATCAATGAAAAATATTCTCAGGTGAGGATTAAAAAATAAAAAACAAACATGTACTATTTGAAATTTGAATACTTAACTAGATTTTGATGACTTAATGGAACCACTGTGAATTCTTTTAGGTGTGATAATGGTATTGTGGTTATTTTTTTTTTTAACAGTCCTTATCTTCAAAATATACTAAAATATTTAGATGTAACATTTTTAAGAAGTTTCATGAGTCTAGCAAAGTGTTGTCACCCTTGTCTTTCCTCTAAGCTCCCAGAGGAAAAGTAGACTTGCTCCTCGAGGACTTCATCAACTTAACACACCCAAAGATGCCAGCAAAGATATGATCGATTTTTTGCTGTTAGAGGCGATGCTGTCCACAGCAAATAACCAAACATCAAGAACTTGCCGAAACCGGTTTGGCTCAGTGGTAGAGCATCGGTCTGCGGACTGAAAGGTCCCGGGTTCGATTCCGGCCAAGGGCATGTACCTGGTTGCGGGCACATCTCTGTTAGGGGTGTGCAAGAGACAGCTGATGGATGACTCTCTCTCATCGATGTTTCTAACTCTCTATCTCTCTCTTCCTCTCTGTAAAAAATCAATAAAATACATTAAAAAAAAAAAAAAAGAACTCAACAATACCAAACATAAAGCCCAGCCTGAGTTCATCAGTAGTAGAGAAAAAGTTGAACACTACGTATTCAAATGTTTACACTTAAAAATGTTTACACTTACTTTTAAAATTCACTAATTCACTTTCTCCCACTTATGCCAACCTTCAACTGAACACCAGTACCTTAAAAGAGGGGCCCGTTGCCAGCTAACGTTGGGAAGCACTGTATACCACACCCAGAGCGCACATTAATGTAAAAGGCTCTGAAATACTGAGGCTGAACAAAAACCTATGCTTCCCAGACTTGAATGCTTTTGTTTTTGGCCTATTATCTAGCACCATCCTAAAGTATGGTACTCTGAGTTACAAATGCATAAATATAAGAACACAATAAATAAAGGGATATTTATAGACATATTTTATTATTTTAAAGAAAAGTTAAAGCCAAAATCTCTTAAAAGTCTTTCTGCATTTTTAATATTTCTGAAATAGACAAACGTTTCACTAAACCATCCTGTCAAGGTTGAGTAGGAGCAAAACCATAAGAGATTATTGTATAGATGAATCCATTGTTTCAGAGGATAGATTAGGAAGGTATACTATTTCTATTTAAGACTGCTGAAACCTCTTTTGTATTATATATAAGAAGCCCTGGCTGGTGTGGCTCAGTTGGTTGGAGTGTCGTCCCATGCACCAAAAGGTGTGGGTTCAATCCCCAGTCAGAGCACATACTCTAGGAAGCAGCCAATCAATGTATCTCTCTCTCTCTCTCTCCCCCCCCCTCTTCCCCTTCCTTCCTCTCTAAAATCAATTTTTTAAAAGATATAAGAAAAAAAACTTAATCACTTTCCTCGTATTATCTGTCCCTTCACCTTTTAATCTATGAAAAGGGTAATAACACCAAAATTGCATGGAATGGTGTATGATCCACAGGCTTTATTTTAGAGCTATTTTATTAATACTTGGAGCATGTTAAGTGTGAGCCTCACAGTAAGGTGATGTGGCATACTACAATACTTCATGCAGAAATTCTGATTTCTATCACAGACTTAAATATAAAAGAACTTGATTCTCTCTAGAACGATGTACACACACATGCACACACTCACACACACACAATTGGCTTTTCCACTTTACCATTTTGATACCCTCCCCACGGCACAGCATTTCGTACTTCTGTCTCTCCGGCAGGTAATCCACAGCAGCCCCTTTTTTCTTCAGCGTGGTTTTCTGATCAGATGGGTCATCTGAAGTAGATTTATTGGCATCTTTGTCTTTAGCCATTATATACTCAAAATACTTTAAGTTACCATTAGCTCTCTGATGTTCAGGATCTATTAGAAGAGAAAGAGCACACCCATGAAGAAGCTTATTGTGAAAACATCAGAATACAATAATATAAAATAGAGGGCCATACAATTTACCTTCCAAACCAGTATGCTTTCGAGAGTGAAAGAAGGCACTGGTAAAAATTACTATGCCAAACAACAGGTGTAAACCAGTACTGCCCCAAGAAAAGCAGGACACACAGTCACCCTACAGAGAGCTCTGGAGCCAGAAGCGGCCATTTATTTCAAAGTAGCAAATAACTGCTTCTACTTTGAGAACTTATTAATTAGCTAAAGGAACTATGATAATTTTGATGTCAAATGGATTTTTAAAATATTTCTCATCCTTTTTTTTTTTAAGCAATGGAAAAGATTTTTTCTGAGATTGAAATATAATTACCGTGGGGAAGACACTGTGTAAGTTCAAAAGCAACCTTTACCACAGATAAATTATAAATGTATAATAGAACACAGCCTACTTCCGAGGGCTGAGTGGATTTTAGCCCCAAAATTCTAAATGAGACAGAAAAGAGAAACTAAAGATGTAATTTTCAAATTAAGCTGGAATCCACTAAATACCTCTGAATTGCTAGTCATAATTTTTAGCTATGTCTCAGTTGAGGAAAGGACTTACTCCACCCATCCAAGAGAAAAACCACCACCACACACACAAATAAAAGCGGCAGCAGAGTTTGTAGGAACTTTACTTGTGACATTAGTTGACATATTTAGGAAATCTAGTCTTATTTCTAAAACATTTCTTGTCTTTGAGAAATTGCTCAAAATATATTTTGTAGTATACAACATAAGCCTAATTTTGTTAAAAAAAAAAAAAAGGGGGGGGGGGAGTATGTGGGTGAAGGGGGTAAATACAACAAGGAAATAAATAAAATTTGTAGGTATCTTTGGGTGATTAGCTTATGGATTACATCCATATTTTTTTTCTATTTTTAAAACTTTCCTACAATGAAATATATCCTAAGAAACCAGAAACACCAATCAGAAAGAATGTATGCACCCCTATTACATAGCAGCACAATTTACAATAGCTAAGATCTGGAAATAGCCCAAGTGCCCATCAGTAGATGAGTGGATAAAAAAACCTGTGGTACATTTATACTATGGAATACATAGTATAAATAAAATACAGCAGTAAAAAAGAAGAATATCTTACCCTTTGAGATAGCATGGAGGGATCTGGAGGATATCATGCTAAGTGAAATAAGCCAGTCAGAGAAAGACAAGTATCACATGATCTCACTCATATGTGGAATCTAAGTAACAAAATAACCTGATGAACGGAGTGGATCCAGAGACATGGAGCATGGAAGGCGGGGGAGGGTGGATGGGTAGGAGGTAATCAACCAAAGTCCTTGTATGCATCTATGCATGGCCCATGGACACAGACAACAATAGGGTGGTGAAGGCCTGGGGTGGGGGGCAGGGGAAGGTTGGGGGGTAAAAGGGAAATATATGTAATATTTTCAACAATAAAATTTTTTATTTTTTTAAAAAGCAACTTTCCTACAATGAGTAAAGTTTTTTTTTTTTTTCTTAAGTCAAAAGGGGGAAAAATACTGGCAGGGGAGAGGGGGTGGGGTGGGGATGGGGGGGGGTACTTGAACCAATATCTCAATTTATTCATTCAAGTAAGATATAATAACCTAATTACCAAAAGTTCACTTCCTGATGGCCAATCCTTTTTAACTGTTTCACTCTTCTAACATATATATTTTTTTTTTCATCTATTCATAAAAATATTAACTTTATTAAAGTTTAAAGCTTCATTATACACCAAAGGCCACCAGAATGTATTAGCATACAACTTTACCTCCAGAGGTTCTGATTTAGTATGTCTAGGGTAGAGCTCAAGGGATTTTCATTTCTAATAAATATCCAAGTCGTTCTGAGGCACGTGTTCCCTGGATCATTTGTAGAGAAACACTACAACTCTGTCCAAAATACTAGTTGTAAAATCTTCATATGCTGTTACATTTTTCTATCATCTTAATATGAAATGCAATTAACCAAAAACACCCTTCAAAGGAAACTAGTTAATGTTTAACGTAACAACATGGTGAATAAACATTTCTGACTGAGTTAGCTAGACGAGGTCCAATTCTGAAATTCCTGAAGAGGACAGAGCCGAGAAACACCACTGTTGTAGAGCTATTAGGTGAGAAACATCAATTGCCATTTATTCATAGGGTAATCAGAAAGAGGATCAAGAATGTCTGACAAAGAAGGTGCTTGAATTCTAACAAATAAAAAGTACCACAGCTATATGATGAGAAATACATCTATCACCTTGAACTATGTCAAGTTAACATACCTAGTTCAAGAAGCTTCTTTGTAAGCAACAGTGCCTTATCGAGGTCTCCCTGCTGGTACACGGCGTAGCTCAAATAATCTAGGACAGAGACCTTATCGGTGGCAGAAACCTCGCCTTCCTCCAGCTGCCTGAGTGCCTGTTCCATCCACAGTTCTGTATGGTAATAATCTGCTTCTGTGTAGGCCACTTTGCCCAACTCAAAACAGTCCTCAACTGTTAGAAAAGATTTGTGCTTCACTCCTACGGAAAGAAAATACAGAGCACTTTAGGATTCTTAATGCTACCCCACATTTATTTAGGACTATACAGCTTTCAAAGTGCTATCTCACTGTCATTTGAATTTCACAACAATCCTCTGGGGGAGGAAAGCAGGAATTATCCTAAATTTATAAACGGAGAAAAAAATTACAAGGTGATGAGACATGGCAAGAATCTAGTGGACTCGGGACCTAGATAGCCGAAGATTTCAGCTATCCGCCAGCAACCAAATGAAATGCCAGTTAAGTTGAAACGTGCAATTTTCTAACAGAGCAGCACTCATCATGTGCACCGTGTGAGATACATCCATCTTCCTCCTACCAGCCATCTGGACAAGAGATGGATGGAGAGGCAGAGAAGCAAACCTGTCAATTGGTTCCCTACCTCCTCCTTCTCCTTCCCTTTCAACATTAATGATATGTAATTTACATGCCATAAAGTTCACCCATTTAAAAAAATATAATAGTTCTTGGTATATTCACAGAGTTGTGCAACCATCACCATAATCTAATTTTAAATTGTTTTCATCACCCCAAAAAGGAAACCATTACCATTCGTAGTCACTACTCATCTTCTCCCCCTCCCAATCCCAGCTCTAGACAACCGCTAATCTACTTTGTGTATCCATAGACTTGCCTGTTATGGTTATGTCATATAAATAATATCATGAAACATTTGTTCTTTTGTGACTAGCCTTTCTCACTCAACACAATGTTTTCAAGGTTCACCCATGTTGTAGCATCCTTTTTATTGCCAAATAGTCCACTCTATGGAGACTATATTAGTTGTTTCCTTTTCTCTGGCTTTTAAGTACATTGGTATACAAGTTTTTGTATGGACAAATGTTTTTATTACTCTTGCGTAGAATTACTGGGTCCTATGGCAACTCTATGTTTAACATTTTCAGAATCTACCAAACTATTTTCCAAAGTGGCTACCCTATTTTATAACCCCAACAGCAATATATGAGGTTTCCAATTTCTCCATACCCTCTCCAATTCTTGTCATTGTCCATCTTTTTTATTATAGTCACTCTGGCAGGCATGAAGTAGTATTTCACTATAGTTTTATTGTATTTCCCTAATGATGATGTTGAATATCTGTCCACATACTTATTGTCCATCTGTGTATCATTCTGGAAAAATGTATGTTCAAATCCTTTGTTTATTTAAAAATTTGGTTGTCTTTTTATTACTAATTAAGACTTCTTTACTTATTCTAGATACAAGTTCCTTATCAGATATATGATTTTCAAATATTTTTTACCTACACTATGGGTTGTCTTTTTATTTTCTTTTAACTATTCTTGATTTTTTTTTTTTTTTAATCCTCATCCAAGGATATTCTTCTGATTTTTTTTAGAGAGAGTGGAAGGGAGGAAGAGAACCCAAGGAAGGGAGGGAGGGAGGGAGGCAGGGAAGAAGGGAAGGAGGCAGGGAGGGAGGGAGGAAGGCAGGGAGGGAAAGACATTTGTTTGAGAGAGACATATCCATCAGCTGTCTCCCAGATGCAGCCTGATTGGGGCCAGGGATTGAACCTGCCCTTGACTGGGAATCAAATCCACAACCCTTCAGTGTGCAGTCCAACACTAAGCCACTGAGCACCACTGGCCAAGGCTATTCTTTTTTCATCTCACCTGAGGATATATTTTCCATTGATTTTTTTTTTTTTTTTTTTTAGAGTAGAAGAAAGAGGTGGATAGGGAAGTGAGAGAGAGAGAAACATCCATGAAAGAGAGAGACATTGATTTGTTGCCTCCTGTTCACATCCCATCCAGGGCAGGAGATCGAGCCTGCAACCAAGGTAAATCCCCTTAACCAGAAACCGAAGCCATGACCCTTCAATCTGAAGGCTGACGTTCTAACCACTGAGCACCCCAGCCAGTGTAATCAAGGCTATTCTTGATGTTTTATTCCAGTGTCTTTTCACTTTCTTAATGGTGTACTTAGAAGAACAGAAGTTTTAATTTTGATGAAGTCTAAGTATTCTCTAAGTATTCACATTTTAAAAAATAAACATCAATCCTTTCTGCTTACCATCCAAAAAAAACTCTCAGATTTTGCAATATTCCCACATACAATCTGAACAATTGCACACACTCCATGATTAAAAAGCCACTATGAGCAAAAAATAAAAACATTTAAAAAACAATATTAATAAAGATGTAATATGCAAATTGATCCTCACACTCTCAAAAGATGGCTGCCTAAGACCAGCCTGGCAGGGGGGTTAGTAAGGGATGACCAAATGGCTGAATGAGCAGGCTGCATGGGGCAACCAGGCCAGTGGGAGCGCGGGGGGTGGGGGGGGCCAGATGGGGGTGACCAGGCTGGCGGGGGGGGGGGGGGGGGGGGCAGTTAGGTGCTACCAGGCAGGTGAGCGATTAGAAGCCAGCGGTCCAGGATTGTGAGAGGGATATCTGACTGCCGGTTTAGGCCCAATCCCTGGGACATCCCCTAAGGCAGAGGTCGGCAAACCAAGGCTTGCAAGCCACATGCGACTCTTTGGCCCCTTGAGTGTTCTAACGCCACTTCTTCAAAACAGACTCGCCCGGGCCAAAAACCGACTTCTGCGCATGGGCCATGAAGTTTCATTCAAACTATACGTCCTCGCCCGCATGTGGTATTTTGTGGAAGAGCCACACTCAAGGGGCCAAAGAGTTGCATGTGGCTCACGAGCCGTGGTTTGCCAACTACTGCCCTAAGGGGTCCCAGATTGGAGAGGGTGCAGGCTGGGCTGAGGGAACCCCCACACCCCATGCACAAATTTCATGCACCAGGCCTCTAGTATGTGATATTTTACTGTAAACAACAGAAAGGTTTGGAGAACAAATAAAGCCTTAAAACTATATTATTTACAGAATATAATATGCTCGGGAAATTTCAGCTACTATATTTATAATGAATCTGCATGAGCGGAAAACTCAGTATGAACTAGCTCAAAACAGTGACTTGATGAAGGGAAGTCAATAAGGAGATACAAAGTGCATGAGAACTGATGAACACTGCCCCAGTGAAAAATCATTACACATATTCTCAGAGAGGTTTATTTTCAGTCATTCTCTATGAAAGTCTTACCAACTGATCTCTACATTAAAGGCTAGGTGCTCAAGAGAACCCAGTGAATTTCCTAAGACTAGACACAATAAAACCAAGTTAAATAATATTCAATGCCATTTTAAAGGGTAAAGTTTTAAATGAAAAGAAACATAGTAAACAAAATGAAATTTATTGTCCTCCATACACCAAGTCTGCTTATCTTGTGTTCCCTGTTTTCCTGAATGGAATCCATCTAGTTGTTGAAGAAGCCAGAGACCCATATCCAGTCCATCATCAGATTCTACCATTCCATCTCCTAAGCAGGCTGATAGCCTACCCACTTCTCTCCATACCCACTAGCTACAAATGTCATCTCTCATTCTAATTTTTACAACAGCCTCCTCCCTGATTTGTCATTACCCACAGGTCTCAATCCAAACTCCATTCTGCAGCCAGAATATTTCTAAAAAAGAAAATCATATAATTTCCCTGTTTAAAAATTCTCAGTGACTCCTCGTTGCACTCAAAACAGTACAAATCCCACAAGGCTTACAAAGTCCTTCAAGAAAATAGCGAGATGTTGATAAATTGTGCACCAGTGGTGGAATGTAAAATGGTATATCTACTATGAAAAATAGTATGGCAGATCCTCAAGAAATTAAAAATAGAATTACCATATGACCTAGCACTTCCATTTCTGGATATATACTCAAAGAATGGAAGGCAGTGTCTTGAAGAGAAATTTACACACTCTTTTCTGCAAAAGGACTATTCACAATAACCAAAATATGAAAGCAATCCAAGTGTCCATTAATGAACAAATAGATAAGCAAAATACAGTCTACACATATAATGGATTATTATTCAGCCTTAAAAAAGAAATTCTGACATTTGCTACAACATGGATGACCTTTGAGGTCATTATGCTAAGTGAAATAATCTAGTAAAAAGACAAATACAATATAATTTCACTTACGATGTACTTAGAGCAATCAAAATCATAGAGACAGAAAGTAGAATGATGATTTCCAGGGTCTGGGGGTATGGGGAAACGGGAGTTATTAATTAATGGGCAAAGAGTTTCCATTTTACAAGATCAAAAGAGGTATTGAGATGGATGTACTTAATACCACTAAACTGAACATTTAAAATTGGTTAAGGCCCTAGCCTGTTTGGCTCAGTGGATTGAGCATTGGCTTGCGGACTGAAGGGTTCTGGGTTCGATTCATATCTTGGTTGCAGGTTCCTCCCATGCGTAGGTAGGAGGCAACAAATAATGTGTTTCTCTCACATTGATAATTTTCTTTCTTTCCCTCTCTCTTCCACTCCCTCTAAAATCTAGGGAAAAACATCCTCAGATGAGGATTAAAATTTTTTTTAAATAAATAAAATTGGTTAAGATAGTAAATTTTATTATATGTTTTCATATGATATAAAATAATTTAAAGCAATTATTACAAATAATCAGCTATTACAACAACAAAATTTTTTGCCAAAAATAGGTCAGAAAGCAGAATATTCTACCCTGCAGGACATTTTAAAAATCTGCATGTATTCTAACTCTCTATTCCTCTCCCTTCCTTTCTTTAAAAAATCAATAAAATATATTTTTTTTAAAAATCTGCATATACCCGACAGGTCTTGGTTTTTAATGACTGAATACATAAACTTTGATTATCAATTCCCTCATAACTTTATATACAAACAATGGATATTATAAAGAAAAACATTTGGAAAAATTATTGCTTCTTTTTCTTATACACTAAAATTGCCTACTTAAGTTTGGTCCCTATAATTATAAGCTTTCAAAATAACAAGCAAGAAGCTTATCCACAACTCTTAAGTCCTACAGAAATGGCGGGTTGTTTTGTTTTCAAGGCTGTGAAACAAACTCAGGTTAAAAATCTTAAAATATGAAGTCCTTTTTACGTTTGCGTTGTCCCACTGGACTGCACAGAGAAGCCAGTTGTTAGGCGTTTTATAGGCTAAGAATGCTTACCTGGAAGATTACCCTTTGAGATGGTATCTGTATCCAAATTGTAGGTGTCCTGGAGACGCAACAGGGCTTTGGCGGCCCCAACCTGATCTTCATCGTTAGGGAAGTACTGTCTCTGAATGGTTAGGTTAGAGATGAAGCCTTGAAATAAGAGAGAGAAAGGCTCAAGAAATTCAGAGACTTCCAATTTCTAAATCAGATTTTTCAAAACTGATTTTATTATAATTTTCCACCATACTGTGTTCCACATGCTCAGTGAGAAAACAGCTGCACTGAATCAGACTTGACGTGCCTCTAACTCCATCAGCCTTCCCAAGCCCTTTCCCATGTAGCTTACCCGAGGTCACTGCATAAATTAGGTCTGTGTGTAAGCAGACAAAGATCAGCTAACATAATAATTGAACTTTTCGTTATACAACATAGGCTCCACTAAGCTTGATATATGAACACATTTATGGATTTGAAAATGATATTCAATTAGCAACCAATTATACTTTCAGATAACAGATAGTAAGTATGCTCTTAAATTCTGTTTTTTCTTCTTCCATGTGCCACACATTATATAAACATAAAAATACAAAGTTTGGTGGAATTGTTTAAGGGGAGAATTATTAATTATATATTTAAGATTATCCAGTAAACTAGTTTATTAAAATATATTTAGATATACTTAATTATTGAATATAGTATTCATCAAGTATATATTTTTTTAGTTTTAAGAGCAGCTCTCAATCACAATTATGGAATTTTATAAGCAAGTTTTACAGATAATTATATTTTTTATGCCCCAAAACAAAATCCTCTCTTGAATGACTACCACAATTAAAATGTCAAGGTCTCAAGGTTTACCTTATAAAAGGTTCATTATTTAAGAATATATTCAGTTATTTCCTCTCATTGTGAAGTATTCATAGTTCTTGCCTTAATTTTTCTTTTCAAGGTTTCCTATCCTATGATAAATAATTTAGTTTACTGCTCATAAATACTTGTAAACACCCTTGCAATATTTCATCTATACAGCTAGCTCAATTTTCTCCCCCCCCTTTTAAAAAAATAATTTTTTGCAACCTTCAGTAATTCAACAGGTATTTGAGCCTCTACTATGTACTAAGCATAATCCTTAAACTTCAGATCTAGTTTTCTGTGTCTGTATTAAATATCTTAAAATTACAATTTATTGTTTCAAATACAAAAACATTCATTATTACTGTTTGCAACCTCCATTTAAAATTTACTATATACACTAAGTAAAACAATCCTAGGTTTCAAAATACTATGTTGAATACTGCTAACACTTTTTCTTATAAAGTACCACTACTTCCAATACATTAAAAATTGATTAGAAAATAAGGTTTACCCCAAATTTAAAAAAAAATAAACAGAATTACAAAACCACCATTAATACTGGAATTCTTCAATTAGGTGCAACTATATATAATTCATGATAAAGTACATTTTTGAAGATTTATTTGGGATCATTCATACCCTTCAATACAATTAATATAATATGCTGACTTTATAAATACATTTTTAAAGAATAAGTAGTCCTTTCAATGTGCAGGAAAAGAACAGACATAGCTCTAGCACAAGTCAAAGCCAATATCCTTCAATTTCTACAGTCTGAAGGTAATCCTAAAATTGCCCTAGCCGGTTTCACTCAGTGGACTGAGCATCGGCCTGCAAACTAAAGGGTCCAGGGTTCGATTCCAGAAAAGAGCTCATGCCTGGGTTTCGGGCTCAGTACCCAGTAGGGAGGGTGCAAGAGGCAGCAATTCAATGATTCTCTCATCATTGATGTTTCAATCTCTCCTTCTCTCTTTCTGAAATCAACAAAAATATTTTTTTTAAATAAAATGAAAAGGACTACCTTCAGAAATGAAGCTATAAGCCAAATAATGAATTCACATTTGTAGATTTCAAAGCAAAAAGCAGTAGTGTTAGTCACAGCAAAGATTACTTGTTTTGACAATGAAGTTTTATTTTTAGTTTTTATTCATCTTTATTTTTTATCAAGAAATTTGGGATATAGAATAAATTAACTCTGATCAGACCAAATATACCCCAGCAATAATTCAGTTACAACACTGAACACGGATGTTCTGGGAACTGAATAGATCGCTACTTTTGGCATTTTTGCAGGCGGTAGCAATAGTGCCTTACTTTTTGAGCTCTATAATCTTACCATCTGACATATCCTTAAGGACTAGATTCTCCAACTCGCTCCACTCAGTATTCAGACGTTTCATTAACTTGAATGCATTTACAGGGTGCCCAACAAATCCTTCTGGATCTTTTGTCGCTGTGCTAGTTAGCCGATCTAACTTCTCTGCCCATCTATACGTGTAAGATGTATAAAAAGAAAAACACAATTTAGTAAAGCACTAAAAAATAAAAAGAGACTACATTAGATTTTTTAATTAAAACAATATCTAAAAATTATTTTTAAAAGTAAAATTATGAAGGTTTTTTTAAAAAGCAAAATTCTCTTATGGGTAAAATCTAGAATGGCAGAATCAATGTATAACTACAAGACTTTTTGTTTTGTTTTGTTTCTCCCAGGTAGTTACAGTAAATGAAACTATCAATAAAAATTATGATTGGATCCCTCTAGTAATAGTCTAAAAATTCCTTTCCCCTCAGGTCCTTAAAGCCAAATAACTGATTATTATAAAGTACAAATTAGCTCAATCCAAATTCAGTTATATCTCCATTTAAATCAAACATTCACCAAAAGTTCACATTCATTACCTAGGAACTATATTTAAAAAACAAAACAAAACTGATTACTTATGGTAGCTACTCATTAAACAAAAGATAGTAATCCTCAAGTTAGGATTAACTATGAACCTGAGTCAATTAAAAATAAATTACCGCCCTAACCAATTTGGCTCAGTAGATAGAGCTTCGGCCTGCAGACTGGAGGGTCCCAGGTTCGATTCCAGTCAAGGGCATGTGCCTTGACTGCTGCCACATCCTCAGTAGAGAGTGTGCAGGAGGCAGTGATCGATGTTTCTCTCTCATTGATGTTTCTAACTCTCTATCCCTCTCCCTTTCTCTCTGTAAAAAAATCAATAAAATATATTTTTAAAATAAAATAAATAAAAATAAATTACTATTTGAGGAAAAAGTATATAAATTAAATAATACTAACCACACTTATCACTGTAATCTCTAGAATGGAACCACAGGAGTGAAAGATAAGTAGTTGGGGAACTGCTCCAGAAAGAAGCTTGATTAGGGAAGTTAGAAAACAGAAGCTATTAGGAACCATTTTAAAAAACTGTCCCTCAATAACCCATACCCATTTATATTATCTCAACCGATGTTCTTCCATGTGAACTTTTGGCCCAGGGCTAACTAGTTTTCTGTGCTCCTGTTTAAGCCATTTCCGCTGGCTTTTTAAGTCTGATGGCTTTAATTTCTACTCAAATGTTTTAGCTTTAGAAAGAAGTCATAATAAATAAAACTTAGCTTACTTTTTTATTTGTTCTAATTTATCTTCTTCTGCCTTAATATAGTCTTTCAGGGAAGTCACCAGATCTTTCTCTGTATGAATCAAATCAGTCATCTGACCTAAAGAGAAGATAGATAGATTAGCAAATACCCATATTCATCAGCACAAGTAATTTGGACTAATCCTCCCATATAATAAAAGGCTAACGTGCAAATAGATCTAACAGGGGAATGGCTGGTCGCTATGATGCCCACTGACCATCAGGGGACAGACACTCAATGCAGAAGCTGCCCCCTAGTGGTCAGTGCACTCCCACAGGGGAAGCGCTACTCAGCCAGAAGCACTGAGCTGGGCTAACAGCTGGTGAGCATAGTGGCAGCGGCAGGAGCCTCTTCTGCCTCCACAGCACTGTTATGGATGTCTGGCTGATGGACCTAAGCCATCAATCGGACATCCCCTGAAGTATCCCAGACTGCGAGAGCATGCAGGCCAGGCTGAGGGACCCCCCCCACTCAAGTGCATGAATTTTGTGCACTGGGCCTCTAGTTTAATAATCATCAAGAATGCTTCATGCTATGAGTTAATTTAACTGGCATGAATCAGATATGTTGGAGAGAACATATTTTTCTATCTTTTTAACCAGATAAATAAAAATAAAGCCAAAAATTTTTCTACTCGTGTGTTCCAATACTAATTTTCAAGCTACTTAGTTTTACAAGTTTGAACTGTACTGGCAAATTATCTTTTCATCTGAAAATGTAACAACAGCTCTAGCTGGTTTGGTTCAGTGGTTAGAGCATCGGCCTGTGGAATAGAGTCCTGGGTTCGATTCCAGTCAAGGGCACATGCCTGGGTTGTGGGTTCGATCCCCAAGAGGGGGGCATGCAGTAAGCAGCCCAATCAATGATTCTCATTAATGATGTTTCTATATCTCCCTCTCCCTTCCTCTCTGAAATCAATAAAAACATCTATACTAATAAAAGGGTACTATGCTAATTAGACTAGGTCAACTGGACATCTTACAAATGTCCAATTTCCTTCTGGACAAAGCCACAGTGGTGGGGGTGAGGCAATCAGGCCGGCATGGGAGCAAGCAGTTAGGGGTGAGATCAGGCCAGTGAAGGGGAGCAAGCAGTTAGGGGTGATCAGACTGGCAGGGGAGGGCAGTTGGGGCCAATCAGGCTGACAGGGGAGGACAGTTGGGGGCAAGATAGGGTCAGTGGTGGGGGGCGGAGGGGAAGCAGTTGGGGCCATGAGGCCGGCAGGGGAGCAATTAGGCAGTGATCAGGCTGGCAGGGGAGCAGTTAGGGATGATCAGGCAGGCAGGCAGCCGAGTGATTAGGAGCCAGCAGTTCTGGATTGTGAGAGGGATGTCTGACTGCTGGTTGTCCCTGTGGGATCAGGCCTAAACCAGAATCAGACATCCCCCAAGATGTCCCCAACTGGAGAGGGTGCAGTCCTGGCTGAGGGACATCCTCGTCCCTGTGCACGAATTTCATGCACAGGACCTCCAGTATTTAATAAAAATATAACAACACTACTTTCCAAGGATCAATGTCTCTTCTTTCCCAACTCCTCCCTCACCTTTTATTTATTTATTTGTATGTTTAAAATGTTTTTATTATGGTTTAGTTGGGTTTTATAATATATATATATATATATATATATATATATATATATATATATATACACACACACACACACACACACACACACACACACACACACGTTTTTATTTTAGGGAGAGAAAGAGAGAGAAACATCAATGAGAGAAACATCCTTCAGCTGTCTGCTGCATGTGACCTACGGGGACCGAGCCCGAAACCTGAGCATGTACCCTGACTGGAAATCAAACTGGAGACCTCTGGTTAGAAGGGACAAGGCTCAACCACACCAGCCAGGGCACCTTTCTAAAAAACTTCTGAAGCTAATTAGAATTAAAATTTTAATCCAGAAGTAAAAACTACACTAACAAAGTATTCGTCACAACCGAAAATCAAATAATCCATACTTATTTACAATTGGATGAGAGAATTCATCATTTTATATTCTGAAATTTCTTGTGTTTTAGTTAGCTCTACAATCACTCACGGGCTGGTCAACAGAAGGAAGGAAAACGTCAGCTTTAAGACAGAGGTAGCATGCACACAGGAAAATATAAGAGGATGTACATAAACCCATGAGGAATTGTTTCTGGGGAAAGAGGACATGTGGATGTCTAATAGTGCACATACTCTTAGTTTTTCCCCTTTAATCCATGTTATTTTTACAATTCTTAAAAGATTTTTTTTAAAAATTACGATGTAGGCCCAGCCAGTGTGGCTCAGTGGTTGAGCATCACCCCATGGATCAAGAGGTTTCTTGGTTCTATTCCCAGTCAAGTCATATGCCCAGGTTGCAGACTCAATCCCCATAGGGGACATGAAGTAGGCAGCCGATCGATGATTTTTCTCTCTCATCAATGTTTCTAACCTCTCCATCCCTCTCCCTTCCTCTCTAAAAAAATTAAAAAATAAATCAATAAAAACACATTTTAAAAATATATATTATTAGTGTAATGATATCATAGTCTCTATTTTTTTTAAAATTATGATGTAGGAAAAAATAGTATTCACAGTAGATTCTTAAATAAAGAATATGCATTAAATTACATGCTCAGAATTTTCTTTGTTATGTTTTCCTAAATTTTCATTAGTTTCTAACCTGTAAATGAATTGCTTTTGTAATAAAAAAATATATATATATGTATTTAAAGCCAGGTTGGCTCAGTGGATAGAGCATTGGCCTGCAGACCACAGGGTCCCCGGTTTGATTCCAGTCAAGGGCATGTACCTTCGTTGCAGGCTCCTCCCCAGCCTGGACTCTGGTCAGGGCTTGTGCAGGAGGCAACCAATCAGTGTGTTTCTCTCACAGTGATGTTTCTCTCTGTCTTTTCCTCTCTCTTCTACTCTTCCTAAAAAAAAAATCAATGGAAAAATATCCTCGGGTGAGGATTAACAAAATAAATTAATAATAATAATAATAACAACAACAACAATAATAATAAAGGAAAAATTAATTTATAAAACAGAGTATCTTTTAGTGGGGCAGGGACTAAAGCAATGCTTCAGTCCTTAGAAAGACAGTGTATTGATTTTTACTGACTTAAAACACTAAAAAAAAGAAAGGAAATTTTTAAATGCAAAAATAATACAAACCAAAAAAAGAGTTCAGACTTACCAATAGAAGTAAAAAAGCCTGGATGGGCCAAAGACTGGGGAAGTAGAATCCCTACAATTAAAATATACCGGATCATCTTGGAAGTCACAACTTTACAGGTTCACACACCTACAAGAAAAATATGGCCATTACAAAATTTTTTAAAAGAGCAGGAAAAGTTCCTCACTTATTTTTCTTATATAAAAAATATAAGTCAGACCCCAAGGTTGCCCATGGAACTGTTGCTAATGCTTGTAAATGGAGTTAATTATTTAATAAGTGCCACTATCTTATTTTTTATATAATTAGAGTACTAACTTGAGTTTTCATATTAAAAAAAGACGTTTGTTATCACCTGATAATTTATGCTTAACAAGTCAACCTGAGTTTATTTTCTCCTTAATACTAACTACTACAATTAGAATAAATGAGTAATAGCTTTCATATAGCCTGAAAAATAACTTTCTGTGATCTGAGCTAAACCATCGATTTCCCATAAAATATTCTACTTTGTTAAAGTAACTTAATTTAAATATTACCAAAATGCATTCTAAAATGTTAAAAGTATGTTTTAAAGTGAAAGAAAGTTTCAGAGATTTCTGATTAATCCTCTAATTTCCAACTTAATCCATCCTTTCCCTATATAGTATTAATTTTTTCTTTCTTTTTTCTTTCAGGAAAGAAGAGAGAGGGAAAGAGAGAAATATCAATGATGGCAGAGAAGCATTGATCAGCTGCTGCTTGCATGCCCCCCTACTGCAACCCAGGCACGTACCCTGACAGAAATCAAACTCGGGACCCTTCGGTCCGCAGGCCAACTCTATCCACTGACCCTCACCAGCCAGACAGTATTAAATTTTAAAATAAATTCAATTAAAGCAACAAGCAGACTGTCAAATTACAGCAGGGAGGGTAGGGAGATCTGAGGAAGATAAGAGATCAACCGAAGGATTTGTATACATGCATGTAAGTTCAACCAATGGACATAAAACTCTGGGGAGAGAGGGCATGTATGGGGGGTGAGGGGTAATGGTATATGTACAGAGATAATAATTTAATTAAAAAAATTTTTAAAAAATAAAATAAAATAAATTAACCAGGCCAGCGTGGCTCAGTGGTTGAGCATCAATCTATGAATCAGGAGGTCACAGTTCGATTCCCTGTAAGGGCACATGCCCCCTTTAAGGGTTTGGTCCCCTGTAGGGTGTGTGCAGGAAGTAGATGATCAGTGATTCTCTCTCATCATTGATGTTTTTATCTCTCTCCCTCTCCCTTCCTCACTGAAACCAATAAAAATATATTTTAAGCCCTAACTGGTTTGGCTCAGTGTGTAGAGTGTTGCCTTGTGAACTGAAGGGTCCTAGTTTTGATTCCAGTCAAGGGCATGTACCTTGGTGGCAGGCATATCCCCAGTGGGGAGTATGCAGGAGGCAGCTGATTGATGTGTCTTTCTCATTGATGTTTCTAACTCTCTATCCCTCTTACCTCCTCTCTATAAACAATCGATAAAATACATTAAAAGTATATATTTTTTTAAATAAGTTAAATTAAAAGTTGTGGATTTGGGGGTGATGAAAGATCTCTAAAATTGAATGTATAGACTGATGGTTGAAGAACATTGTGAAAGTACTAAATTATGAACATATAATTTGTATGGAGTATGAATTATATCTCAACAAAGCTCTTATTTTTAAAAAGTTACACAGAATCCAAAAAAGAATAAACAGCCCTGCCAATTTAAGCTAGTAATTTCTCTCAAAGGATTCAATGTTGAGTTTCTTATCTACTGTGTTCTATGTAAAAATCCTCAGCCTCATACATAGCTGAGGCTTTTTTTTTTTTTTTAACCTGGCAGCAAAGCTGTTCTTTTTAACTCGTCCGATTGCAATCTTTCTAGAATGTATTCTACATAGTGGTTGCAGATATCAATAACCAACAGGACTTTACTCTGCCTTCCCAAAATGCCCTGATGGATTTCTTCTCTTGCTCCTTTTCCATCACATACATGGACTTTAAGTCCTTCTTACTACCTTACAGGAGAATAAGTTACCATCACAGTTCCATTTGCCCCAGACAGGCCATAGTTACTCTGACCTGTCATCCTATTTTTTGTGCAGGCACCTCTGTCTGACTCTTCCCAAGAGACTTCATCTAAACCAGCAGGTTCAAGTCCACTGTGGAAAGCAACCTGTTCCCAAAACAAAGTAAAACCCACTTTCCTAATTTGAATCCCAATAAAATAGATCACCAGAGAAACCGACATTCTGGAAGTACTCCTTAGTCTCCTCCCTCAAGTTTGCTGCAAACTTCCAGATACTTCCAGAACCACACAGTAGTAAAATCCACTGCTCTCTTGGCTGCTTTACAGTAAGTCTTTGGAAAGCTTCTAGAATGTTGCAGCTGCAGACTCACTTCCTCTCCTGGGCTCCGGCCAAAGCACAAGGCTTTTTCAAAATCCTGGACTGTCTGAAGAGTCTAGAATCTTCTCACTTTAAATAGGTTTCTGACATAATTTTCTTCATAAGTAAATGTTATTTCCAGAAAATACAAATTTTGCTGTACTAGACGTAGGCTAAATCAGAAATGTTGTCTAATATCTAATAAGAAAGTATAGATTTGTCAGATAAGAGGTTATTATCAGTTTTTCATTGCTAAAATATATTCTGTCAGTAATATTTCTATCACCTTTCCTCGTCCTTAAGCCTTACAATGAATCAAGAACCAATTAGTCTACACACATTACTAAAAAGAAGCTTGAAAATTGCATTTTAAAATGATAGAGCTGCCCTAGCCGGTTTTGCTCAGTGAACAGAGCATCAACCTATGGACTCAAGGGTCCCAGGTCAATTCTGGTCAGGGGCACATGCCTGGTTGTGGGCTCAATCCTCAGTAGAGGGTGTGCTGGAGGCAGTAGATCAATGATTCTCTCTCATCATTGATGTTTCTCTCTCTTCCTCTCTGAAACCAATAAAAATATATTTTAAAAATAAATAAAATTATAGACTATCAAAATTAAAAGTATTAATCATATGGAGACTAAACATACCTTTGGAAATCATGCTACAAAATAAATTCTAGATGGATTAAAGAGATAAAGTTAACAAAAAAATAAAATAAAAACAAACAAAAAAAGATACTGATCTCTCAAAGCAGAGAATTCCTAAATTTAAAAATGAATAAACAACCTACTAATAGCCGGATGGTATTTAAATGCACAAAACAGCCCTGGCCAGTGTAGCTCAGTTGGGTATCATCCCAGGCATGGAAGGGTTGCTGGTTTAGTTCCCGTTCAGGCACAAGCCCAAGTTGCAGCCTCCATCCCAGGAGGCAGCTGATGGATGTTTTGCTCTCACATCAATGTTTTTCTCTCTCTCTTCCTCCCCCCCCCCATCTCTCTCTCTTTAAAAAAAATAAATAAATAAAAAATAAATACACAGAAAGGTTTACATATGTTTAAAAAAAAAAAAAAAAAAAACAAGTATAAATCCTAGCTAGTTTGCCTCAGTGGATAAGAGTACTGGCCTTTGGACAAGAGTCCCTGGTTGGATTCCGGTCAAGGTCAAGTAGTACCTCAGTCACAGGCTTCTCCCCACCCTGGGTAACTTGTGCAGGAGGCAATCAAACTATGTGTTTCTCTCACATAGATGTTTCTCTCTCACTATTGCTCTCTATACTCTCCCTAAAAATCAATGGTAAAATATACTCAGGGGACAATTAACAAAACAAAAAGAATTATAAACTACAAACTGGGAAACTAAAGAAGATACACAGAGGTCATTTAAGGCACTCTTACAACTCAATAAGAAAACCAATAATGTGTTAATAGAGAAGTGGATCAGTGATGTAGGAAGTCACAAAAGAGGAACTATAAACAACCAAACAAACAAAAAAACCCTCAGTAATCAAGCACACAAAACATTGAAATAAGATAGCTACTTTCTGCCCGGTGAATAAACAAATTAACAATTAAAAATATCTAATGATGGTGCTGTATGCAAAGAAACTTAAAATGAACACATCCTTTAATTTGTGAATTTAAACAAAAAAATAAGACTTGAACATTAACATCAACTTTCATTCATTACTGATGAGAATAAAAAATGTTACAGCCACTGTGGAAGTCAGTTTGGCAGTTTCTTAAAAAATTAAACATACATTTACCATACAATCCAGCAATCATGCTTCTTGGTATTTACACAAGGAAATAAAAACATGTTCACATAAAAACCTTCACACACATGTCTACAGCACCTTTATTCATAATGGCCAAAACCTGGAAGCAACCAAGAAATTGTGAATGTGTAAACAGTGGTACATCCAGACAACTGAATGTTCTTCATTGCTAAAAAGAAACTAACTACCAAGCCATGAAAAGACATGGAGGGACCTTAAGTGCCTATTACTAAGTGAAAGAAGACAATCTGAAAAGGCTCTATACTGTATGATTTCAAGTGCATGACATTCTGGAAAACGCAAAACTATGAAGACAGTAAAAAGATCAGCTTGTGTGGGGGTGAATAGGTGAAGCAGAGAGGATTTTTAGGGCAGTGGAAATACACCACATGATAAATACACACCAGTACACATCTGTCCACAACCACAGACTATGCAACATGTAGAGTGAAGGGGTAATGTAAACTATGAGCTTTGTGCAATATGACGTGTCAATGTAGAGTCGCTAATTATAATAAATGTACCACTCTGCTGAGGGATGTTGTTATGCATGTGTGTGAGCAAGGAGTATTTGGGAAATCTTTGTACAGTCCTGTGAACCTAAAACTGCCCTAAAATAAATAAAATCTTAAATAAATAAAAGTGAACATCATGCAATACTCCAGTGCAGTGGTCGCCAACCTTTCAGACCTCATGGACCACTGGTTGGCAACCGCTGCTCTAGTGGAATCTGTATTGAATGCGATTCAGTTTCTACTACTCTGACAGAGTTGTAAATATTCATCAAAACCAATTTTAAAAATTAACATGTATTAATAACTATGCAAAAAAAATATGCAGAAAAGTCTCCAAAATGTAGTTGTCTCTGGACAGCAGAACACTAGATGACTTATTTTGTTTATCTGTATTTTCCAGCATCCTAGG